GGCACTATCACAGCTCACTGCCAGCTCAACCTCCAGGGCTCAAGTGATCCTCCTGCCTCGGTCTCCTGAGAAGCTGGGAATACAGGCATGTGCCACCAAACCCGGCTAGTTTTTTCATTTTTATTTTTGTAAAGACAGGATCTCACTACACTGCCCAGGCTGGTCTTGAACTCCTGGGCTCAAGCAATCCACCTGCCTCGAGCTTCTCAAAGTGCTGGGATTACAGGTGTGAGCCACTGTGCCCAGCCTGGAATTTTTTTTTTTTTAGACTGAGTCTCTATCTATTGCCCAGGCTGGAGTGCAGTGGTACCATCTTGGCTCACTGCAACCTCTGCCTCCCAGGTCTAGCGATTCTCATGCCTCAGCCTCTGAGTAGCTGGGATTACAGGCACCCGCCAACACTTCCAGCTAATTTTTGTATTTTTAGTACAGACAGGGTTTCACCATGTTGTCCAGGCAGGTCTCAAACTTCTGACCTCAAGTGACAAGTGATCCACCTGCCTCAGCCTCCCAAAGTCCTGGGATTACAGGCATGAGCCACCGTGCCTGCGGTGTGGAATTTCTTTTTTTTTTTCTTTCTTTTTTTGAGACAGAGTCTTACTCTGTCACCCAGGCTGGAGTGCAGTAGCGCGATCTCTGCTCACTGCAACCGCCGCCTCCCGGGTTCAAGCGATTCTCCTGTCTCAGCCTCCTGAGTAGCTGGGATTACAGGCGCCCACCACCATGCCCAGCTAATTTTTGTATTTTTAGTAGAGACAGGGTTTCACCATGTTCGTCAGGCTGGTTGCAAACTCCCAACCTCATGATCCGCCTGCCTTGGCCTCCCAAAGTGGGGATTACAGGCATGAGCCACTGTGCCTGGCCTCTGGAATATTTTTATAAGGCCCTGGATGACTTTAAGGAAGGGTAGGCAGCTCTTGTCATCTGACATCTCAGCTCCGAGGGCCTGGGCCACAGAAAGTTGGTCTTACTTTACCGCCCTTGACCCCAATTTCTGCTGTTACTGGCAGAGGAGCAAATACCATCAAGGCAGGTGGGCAAGGGCACAATGAAAGGCCTCCCAGTCACCCCCTGTCAAGGGTCCAAGGCTGAGGTGGGTGAAGACACTTCTGGTTTCTAGGTAGCTTTGGATCTATCTTGTAAGAGCCACTTGACCTAAAATCTTGTATTCAGAAAGATTTTTAGACTAGATTCCTTTTTTTAGAGACAAGATATTGCTCTGTCACCCAGGCTGGAGGGCAGTGGCACGATCACAGCTCACTGCAGTCTCAAACTCCTGGGTTCAAGTGATCCTCCAGCCTCAGCCTCACAAGCAACTGGGACTACAGGTACCCACCAGCCACTGGGCTTGCTTGCTTTCCTCTTCTCTTTTCTTTTTTAATTTTCTTTTATTTTCTTTCTCTACCTTTCTTTCCTTCCTTCCTTCCTTCCACTTTCTCCTTCCTTCCTTCCTTCCTTTCCTTCCTTCTTTCTTTCCTTCTTTTTCTTCTTTCTTTTCCTTCCTTCCCTCCCTCCCTCCCCTCCTCTTTCTTTCTCTCTCTCTCTCTTTCTCTCTTTCTTTCTTTCTTTCTACATAGGGGTCTCACCATGTTTCCCAGGATGATCTTGAGCTCTTGGCTTCAAGTGGTCCTCCTTCCACCAATGCCTGAAGTTCCATCGTCATGGGCGTAAGCCACTGCATCAGGCCTAGATTCGTTTCTTCATGTTCTCTCCAGAATATCACAGGGTGGGCACGGCCTTCTTCTGATGTGGTTGAACGAGAAAGCCATCACAACACTTCAAACTGTGTCCCAAACTGGGCGCAGTGGCTCACGCCTGTAATCCCAGCAGTAAGAGAGGCCAAGATGGGCAGATCACTTGAGGTCAGGAGTTTAAGATCAGCCTCACCAACATGGCGAAACCCCATCTCTACTAAAAATACCAAAATAAATTAGCTGGGCGTGGCGCACGCCTCTAATCCCAGCTGCTTGGGAGGCTGAGGCAGGAGAATTGCTTGAACCCAGGAGGCAGAGGTTGCAGTGAGCTGAGATCGTGCCACTGCACTCCAGCCTGGGCAACAAGAGCGAAACTCAAAATAAATAAATAAATAACCACCAAAAATCCAAACTGTCCCAAGGATACCTCTGGAAGCACCTATATTCCACCATTGTCCCATGGCTAGCATCACCATATGGCAATGGACTTGTGTGTCTGTTTTTTATAAGCCTACATTTGTTCAATCCAAGTGTTTAAAACCTATCATACAATACTTTCTGTCTGTTCGCTTGGGAAGTTTCTCATTGCGAGTATTTTGGGAGGCTTGGGAGGTGGCGGTAACTGGGTGCTGGTACCCTCCTGTCCTCCTTCCCCAGGCCTCAAGGAAAGCGCCCATAGGCAAGGCCTGCGCCCACTCTCTCTGTGTGGGCCTGGGAGCCCGGAGTCCAGGCCTTTCCCAGAGGCTCAGCACAGCTGCGGCCCTCCAGGGTTCCTTCTGCCTGGTGTGGCTGCTCCCTAGTTCTGGCTGGGGCCTTGGCATCACCCTGGGGCCAGAAACCTGGGTGCGGGTGGGGCTTCCTCCTGGGAGAAGGCCAGGGTGGGCCTCCGGGGCTTCCGGCCCAAGAGCGAGCTGTTTTCCGGAGTCTGGCAGTGCTTCCACTGCTAAACTGGATTTCAGGCCGCCACTCGCTTGAGTCACGGGGAAGCGAAGCCAGGCCTGGCAACGGCAGGCCTCAGAAGGATCCAGGGGGCATCTCCGATGGGGATTTCAATTGCAAGATAAAGGCAGGGCCCTGGCTGCCTTTGGTGGCCTGGTTTTTCCTTCTGCACTGATCCAGGTGTCCCAGAGCCCAGGCAGGGCCTGAACTGGACAGATGAGGTGAGCTTCCAGAATCTTGTGACTCAGGGCACAGAGGTGGGTGGGGGCAGCACCTGGAGGCCCCCGAGCCAGCACTGCTACAGCTATTTCAGTTCTCCAGAGGGGCCGCCTGGGCCGTTACACATGCCGTGCCTGCTGCGCCGACTCCACCCCTCCCACCAGCCCAGTGTATTCCTTTTTTTGAGACAGAGTCTCGCTCTGTCGCCCAGGCTGGAGTGCAATGGTGCGATCTCGGCTCACTGCAACCTCTACCTTCCGGATTCAAGCGATTCTCCCACCTCAGCTTCCCGTGTAGCTGGGACTACAGACACGCGCCACCATGCTCGGCTAATTTTTATAGTTTTAGTAGAGACAGGGTTTCACCATGTTGGCCAGGCTGGTCTCGAACTCCTGACCTCAAGTGATCCTTGGCCTCCCAAAGTGCTGGGATCACAGGTGTGAGCCACTGCACCCAGCCCCAGTGTTTTCCTTTTTCACAGTTTCAGCTCAGACATCCCCTCCTCCAGGTGACAGCACCAAGCTCACCAATCACTGTTGCCATGTACTCCTAAAGGAAGTCTGTCTCAGGCAATCCCCCTAAAAGTCCTATAAGGCAGGCCTTGTGACTCCTACTTTACCAAGGAGGAAACAGAGGCCCAGAGAGGTGAAGCAGTGCCTGGAGTCCCCCAAGCTGGCGACACGCAGCAGGGGGAGACACAGCCTCTCTCTTTAAACACAGCTTGAAAGAAGAGCGGGCGAGGATGCTGCAGGCTGGATGGAGACAACTCCTGCAGGAAGGGCCAGGGTAGGACACCCCCAGCCCAGCCTCGCTCTGTCGTGGTGTCCTGGACCATAAGGGCAGCGAAGGGCTCACCTGTTGACTCAAGTCTCTCCCTGAGACGTCTAGTTCCTCAAGGGCAGGGACCTGTGCTGTTTATCACCTTAGCTCTAGGGGCTGTAGCAGCAGCTCTGTGCCTGGCACACAGAGGGCCAGCAGGTATTAGCTCCATGAACAACTGACCTCTAAGCTTCAGTCTTTTCTATTTTTATTTTTGAGACAGAGTCTCGCTCTGTCACCCAGGCTGGAGTGCAGTGGCACAATCTTGGCTCACTGCAGCCTTCGCCCCCCAGGATCAAGCCATTCTCCTGCCTCAGCTTCCTGAGTAGCTGGGACCACAGGTGCTCACCACCATGCCCTGCTAACTTTTTTGTATTTTTAGTAGAGATGGGGTTTCAGCATGTTGTCCAGGCTGGTCTCAAACTTCTGACCTCAAATGATCCACCCGCCTCAGCCTCCTAAAGTGCTAGGATCACAGGCATGAGCCACGGTGCCTGGCCTAGCCTCAGTCTTTTCATCTGGAAAATGGGTTAGTTCAGTAAGCTACTATTCTCCATGTGCTTAGGTCTTCTGGGGGTGGAGTGGGGGGAACGGGGACTGTTAAATTATCAGTGATCAGCTGTTGCCTTTTTTGCTACATTTCCTCTCCAAGTTGCTATTAGAAAAACCATCCTGGGGTCCCCGAGCCCAGGGTCCAGAGTGAACACAGCCTTCCTTGCCTCCCCGAGAGCAAGGAAGAAACCCCTCCAGTTTTCTGAAATTAGGGCCCAAAGAGGAAAAGGGGACATGAGCAAGTTCTGTGCATCGGCTGCAAGATAAGAAAGACGACCGATAATCCCAACGTTTTGGGAGGCCAAGGCGGGCGGATCACCTGAGGTCGGGAGTTCCAGACCAGCCTGGCCAACATGGTGAAACCCCGTCTCTACTAAAAACACAAAAATTAGCTGGGCGTGGCGACGCCTGCCTGTAATCGCAGCTACTCAGGAGGCTGAGGCAGATCACCTACACCCGGGCGGCAGAGGTTGCAGTGAGCCGAGATCGCGCCATTGCACTCCAGCCTGGGCAACAGGAGCGAAACGCCGTATCAAAAAATAAAAATAAAAAAAGAAGAAAGAAAGAAAGAGGACAGAGAGGGCAAGGACACCACAGACAGGAGGAGAGGAGTCCAGCTCACTCCCCCTGGCTGGTTGGGTGGTGTGTTCTGCGAGTGTGACCCATGTTGGCCAACAGAGGACAGCAAAATACATTTTTTATGATCCTGGGAGGTTCAGGCCAGTCACGTTTTCGCGCAGAGAGGCGGGGCGGTGGAGAGGGACAAGTCATGTCTCAGTTATGTGGATTCTCTTTGCGAAAGAGGGGCCACTTCTGCAATGGATTTGGGGGTCCCTGGGCAGGCGTGTGGGTGGGGCAGATTTTAGGAAGGGGATGAGCTGCTGTGGGGGCGTCTCCCTTACTGCGGGAAATGGAAAGTATTACAGCTATGGCTGGTGAGAGTGTCAGTGCCAGAGGCCAGGTCTTTGCCAGGTGGAGAGGACACCCTTATGCCCTACCCCCAAGTTCCAGCACCTCTCCAAGAGCCCTTGGCCCCGGAAGCAGCAACAAAGTGACACTGGACTGGGGAGGAGGAAGCACAACTTTATTTTCTGGCCCGAAGGTGGGTTGGTATTTGGAGGAGTTCTTGGGAACACAGTGTGTCTGTGCAGTTTCAACCCTGGGGATCCAGGGACTCCAGCCATCCGAGAGGACGTGAGGAAACGTCCTGGGGTGGGTGTAAGAGGCTGGGAGACCCCGCCTGATGCTGCTCCTACTTTTACTGTTTGTTCACGGGGTTGTGTGTGTGGGGGGGTAGGGGGGTGCTGAACATTGGGGGAAGGGCCAGAAGCGCCAGCTGGCAGTGGCACTGGGTGTTCCCGAAAGAGGGGGGTAGACCGGGTCTGAATCTTCAGTGGATGCACCCCCAGCTCCGGGATACCTCAAGTGCCTTTGGAGGACTCCCGCACGCCCCTCGGGAGGGAAGTCCGGCCTCGGTTCCGTCTCTGGGCTGCGGTGGTACTGGAAGTGGGGACTCTTTCCCCCTCCTCCGTGCCCCTAGTTTGAAGCACCCCGGGCTCTGCCCCCCGCCCCCAGGTCGAGGCTGACGTCGCCGCCGCATTTCTAGGAATGCCCCTATCCGCTGACTATATTTGGCGAGGGTTTCTAGGAAGGCGCCCCCCCACCCCGGCCCCCGCCCCCACTCCAACCCCCACCCCCACCCCCACCCCTACCCCCACCCCTACCCCTACCCCCACCCGGGCGGGCGCGCTCGGCTTCCAGGCTCTTGCCCTCTCTCCCGGGCTGGGGAGGAACCGCCCCGCTGCCTGGGCCGCCGCCGCCGCCGCCTCCCCAGCGCGGCCAACCCCGGGCTGGCCCAGCCCCCGCCCCGGGCCGGCCATAGGGCGCTGGGGGGGCGGGGGGGGGCCGGGGGCGCGGCTTTGTGGCGGCAGCGGACCGTGGAGGCCGGGTGCAGCCCCGTCGGCTGCGCGCTCTCTGCAGAAAAGGATTTTCTATGCTCCCCGCCCATCACTTGGATCTCGTCTGGGGAGGGGCGGATTTTTTTTTCTGGAAGTACCCTTCTTCTTCACGGTGGAGGATTTAAGGCTGGGCTCCAATCGAGGCGGAGGCTGCAGGGCCCGCGGGGCGCCCCCCACGCCCGGCGCACGCCTGCCTGGAGCCTGGGAAGGCGCAGCCCCGGCGGGGGGGGCCGTGCACCCCCGGAGGCAGCAGCGGCGGTGAGTGCTCCCCTTCTTCCCGCCTGGCACCTTCCCCCAGCCAGGGCAGGGATCGCGGCAGGTGGGCGCCCAGGCCCCCAGGGCCGAAGGGGTGTGGGGCGGCTGCCTGCGGGGTGGATGGGAACGGGAGCGGGGAGGTGGCGGCGGGGGAGCGCGCGGCTCTCTCGGGACCCGGCGCGAGACGCTTGTCTGGGCTGCGATCGCCGCCGCTGCCGCCACCCCGGCTCCCCCTCAAACCCCTCCCCCGCTCCCCAGAGGGGCGTGTGAGGCCGGGAGGTAGGAAGGGGGCGAGGTCGCCCCCAGCCTGCCTCGTGCCTGGGCTTGGAAATTGACTAGGCGTTGGAGCGTCCGCGTCCCCGCCCCCACCCCCGAAAGCCCGCTCGGGAAACTGACTCGCTGCGTGACCCCGATCTCAATGCCGCGCGCAGAGCAGGCCGGCCGCGCCCGCCGCTCCACGTGCGCCCGGGCCCCGCTGGCATGGGCGGCGGCGCCTGCGGGGGCCGGGCCCCGGGGATTCCGGACCGGCCGGGAACCACCGTCCCCAGAGAGTTACCGCCGCCCCCTAAATAAAGTTGTCTGCGCCCTCCTCCCGAGAAGCAGGCAGCCCTCGCGCATTGGCTTTAGCTTCTGCAGGACGGGGGCAAAAAAAAACTAGGTACCGGGGTGCGGAGCTGGGTGTCTGTGCCCGAGACGACACCAAGTTAGGAAAAAGAAGTTAGAAAAAAAGAAAGAAAAGGAAAAAGAAAGGAAAAAGGCATTTTGATTTGGGGGTGGGGGGAGTGGCGTTTCTGGTTTCTCTTTGCTTCCAATCCCCACCAAGCGGAGCGTTGGAATGCGCCGCTCATGTCCTCTGAGGACACATCCATATTTATAATTTATTTTTAGGAGAAGTTGTGAAAAAGGGAGGGGGGTTAAAATGAAGAGAAAAGGTGCGTGGGGGAGTGGCCTTTCCAGAACCTAGAGGCTAATTGAGCTATTAAAATGGAAATCACTTCCCCCAATTTGGGCGCGCAGCAAATTTGACTTTAATGAGAGACGATTAAGGACACAAATAACGAAACTTTTTTTAGCTGGAGATGGCGTGGGGGGGGGGTGGGTGGACTGTACGAGACACCTCGGACACCCGATTTATCCGCTGCTAAGGGACGTTGGGGGCACCCCCTCGTGTTCTCCGGGAAGCTTTCAGGCCTGTTTACTGGGCGAGATTGGTGATTGCTCCCTGAGGGAAGAGACACCCCGGGATCAAGCGATTCTCTTGCCCTCAGCCGTGGGGTGGGCAAATGCCCCCTCCTCCCATAGCGACCCCCTGGCATTTTGGTGAGATGAACCGCCGCCCCGAGGGAACACCCAGTACCGATTCCTTCAGCGATCCGGGATTCTCCAAACTCCTGCCTCAAAGGCGGCCTGCCCCGGTGCTGTCAGCCGTGAATGGGGACTCACTTCTTAGGAAAAGAGGTTTTGGAGGCTGTGGTCTCAGAATCGGGGTTTTGAGGGCGAGATGAGTTTATGTTTTATCCAACTGGCCCTCAAAGTCCCGCTTTTGGGGTCATTCTGGACAGCGAGGGACTCAGGCCCGGGCAGTCCCGGGAGGGTGAGGGCAGAGAGCTACCACCCCCAGGGAACGCATCTAAAACCCGGCTGCGTGGGGGAGCTGGGGAAAGGGGGGAGGTCTGCTACTTGCATAGAACTAAAAGGCCCCTTCGAGGGCGGTATTCTTATATGTGTGTGTTCTCAGTTTGCCGAACCTACTGTGTTTTCCAAGGGCGTCTCTCCTTGGGAGGCCGAAAAACGATGCAAAGAGGAGAAAGTACATCCCCCCGACCACCCCCACAATGGTTTAAAGGACAGGATTGGATTGGAAAGGAATTAGTAGGATGTCGGTTGTGGCAAAGTGTTTGAAACCCCCAAATAAGGCACTCCTGAAATGATGAATTGTTATGACATTAGATTTGTCTTTACGTTTGTTAAATTAGGAGCAACCAGCTGTTTGCTTCCACCTGGAATTGCAACATTTCTTTGCAACTCTTTGCTACTTTGCTGTTGAAGGCGTTCTTTTTGTTTTTGTTTTTTGTTTTTTGAGACGGAATCTTTGCTCTGTTGACCAGGCTGGAGTGCAGTGGCGCGATCTTGGCTCACTGCAACCTCTGCATCCCGGGTTCAGGCGATTCTCCTGTTGCAGCCTCCGGAGTAGCTGAGATTACAGGCCCGTGTCACCAAGCCCAGCTAATTTTTTGTATTTTTAGTAGAGACGGGGTTTCACGGTGTTAGCCAGGACGGTCTCGATCTCCTGACCTCGTGATCCGCCCACCTCGGCCTCCCAAAGTGCTGGGATTACAGGTGTGAGCCACTGCGCCCAGCCAGGCGTTTTATAAAAGCCTGGTTAATACGTTCAGGGGAAGTCTCTAAAGCAAGGGTAGTGGGTATTAATCCCCCTCGCAGAACATTAACCTTCAGTTGTGTGTACACACGTACACACACGCACACTCCCTATATAGTTGTAACCTATATAGACTTCCACACACCCTAAGTTATTTGCAAGTCTAGATTTAAATTAAGTCTGCACAGCAGGGAATAGAAGTGAGCTGTACCTGGAAAAAACTTTTGAACACAGCGTTCTTGATACAAGATTTAGGATTTGAAAGACATGGCACATGTACACGCAGATGACATTTGTGCTGCCTTGGCAAAAACAGTTCTTTACTTCCAGAGTTCTTTCTCTTTAGTATGGGACACGATGAAACAGCACAATTTTCAGGAGTCCACAATTCCAGCGAGGCGCACGGATGGGAAATTGTCACGTTGTGAATTGTGTTTGTGCTTTGCTAAATCGCCACCCGGAGCTGACTGTCAAATCCTATTTGCTTTGCTAAATAAGGATATCTCATCAAATTAGCCTTTAATGATACTTCCACAAATAGGGTGTTTTACGTGAATTAACGAGGCCGGAACACTGACTGTTTCTCCACGATACTGAGCTATAATGGAGACGACGAAGCCGAATGTTAAAATTACTGAATTGTTAAGTGTGCAAAATCAGACAGAATTTAGTGCTAAATGTGAAACAATTTCTGCTTTAATGGTGAGCGTTCGCAACAGCACAAGCATTACTTATATTCAGCCGTCTGAAACTGTGCATGTAATTATGAATACATTTAGCAAACTTTTTCCCCCTGAGTCTGGAAACAGTCTAGTATGGTGAAGAGATTATAAATCAGCATTTTGCAGTGAGAAGTCATCATTAATTCAGCAAAGAATCACAGCTTCTTTTCAGATCCTTCCCACCACCCTCCTACACAACCCCCTAAACCAATAAGGAAAAAAAAAAATTCAACATGGAACTGCTGGATACACTGAATATATTTTGGCTTTTCTCTTTTTGCCTCTGTGTGAGAAACTTCATTAAGCAGTTGCTGTTCCCTCCCCACCCCCGCCAACCCTCAAAGAAGTGTGGATTTAAGAAAAACAAAACAAAACAAGCAACTTTGAAATTTGTTCTTAGCAATACTCAAGCCATAGCTGATCTCAGAGAGGCAAAAAATATGCTTCAATAGAAAAGAATACGGTATGGCCAGGGGTAAAATATTTAGAGGTGGTTCTGCAATGAATATGATACTTCCTTAAAAATAAAACGTGCGTTGGTGACTCAAACTAATGAAAGTTGGAAAAGTCCCTCCAAGGAAACACTCTGTTTCCCTTCCCAGCAACCCCCCAACTTAACGTTATGAACAGAAAGATGAAATTTCTTACCAGATCAACTACAGCCTCCTAAAAGTCGATCAGCTCACCCTCCTTTAATTTAGATTGTGGAGTAAATACAGCTATTTTAGCCATGAGGATAAAAATGAGTGCAGTGAAAAGTTAAGGCAAACTTGGTACTTAAAATCAC